TTGGCTGACCTATAATCTATTTGATTAACACTTGAATTAAACAGGCTTGCTATGGTTGTATTATAGTTTCCAACGCGTGTTAAAATATAGTTGCCCGCAGGTATAAAACTGTCATTTTTTAATTGTTTTTCAAGGGTATACAGAATTCGATCTAGCGCCACACTTAAGGATACATCTTGGGTGTATTTCCGAAGAAAGAAATGGTGTATATTTAGTTTAGTTATTCCCTGTTTTCAAAGTTAAACTGTATATGTGTGTGGCGTTGATCTCTGATTTGGTATATCTGTTGGTGTGTATTTAGTTTGTCTTGGTATGCTTGTCTCTATGTATGGATAGGTGTATTCTTCGCGTTTGGTGTATACACGCGTTTGTGTGTGTGTGTGGTTGTGTGTGTGTGTGTGTAAGTGTGTGCGTGTGTGGATTTGTGTGTGCGTGTGTGTCTGTATGTGTGTGTGCGTGTATCTGGCATAAAAGAAAAAAACATTAACAACACTAACTTCATTTTCGGACATTTATTTCAATCATACCTTTATTGTAAGAGGAGATAAGAGAAAATGAAATACTCCAATTTCTGATATTGATAAATTGAGCAGATTGTCTCAATGTATTGAAAGTTTGCGGGAAAAAAGCAGTGACTGAATATTATATATATCTATTATTTTCTCAATATCACATTTGATAAGAAAATATATTTATCAATCCCTTATTTACTATAAAAATACGCACACACACACACACACACACACACACACACACACACACACACACATATATATATATATATATATATATATATATATATATATATATATATATATATATATATCTTTTTTTTCTCTCTTCACCTCTAGTAGACCTACATATATTACACAGCAGAGATCGGCCTTCATGGTCATTAAAGTTGATTATTTACTAATATTAATTGTAATCCTTTTCCATTATTCACTGAATTATAGTTATTTACAAATTCATTATATGTTTTGAATACAAGTTGAAATGACAGTGAGCTGTTCAGACGTTAGGATGGCCTATAAAATAACCATTTGAAATTCGTTATAAAGAATATATCAACATTTAATTAGGAAACGTAAAAAATGAGATTTTTTGTGGGCAGTTCTTTTCCATTACTATAAATTATATTCTTCTCAGAATAAATGGCTATTGATTTATTCACAAGAGAGAGAAGAGGAGAGAGAGAGAAGAGAAGAGAAGAGAAGAGAGAGAGGAAGAAGAGAGAGAGAGAGGAAGAGAGAGAGAGAGAGGAGAGAAGAGAGAGAGAGGAGAGAGAGAGAGAGAGAGGAGAGAGAGAGAGAGAGAGAGAGAGAGAGAGAGAGAGAGAGAGAGAGAGGAAGAGAGAGAAGAGAGAGAGAGAAGAGAGAGAGAGAGAGAGAGAGAGAGAGAGAGAGAAAGAGAAAAAAGAGAGAGGGAAGAGAGAAGAGGAGAAGAGAGAAGAGAGAGAGAGAGAGAGAGAGAGAGAGACAGACAGAGACACAGAGAGAGAGAAGGAGACAAACGGACAAACAAAGAGAAATTTCATTTTGGACAGTTTATTTGGATAAATAATACATCACCTAAACGTAGTGACTGTGTATATAGCACTTTATAGATCCTTGGGCAAGATCTTTACAATTGCGTTCATATCATTTTACAGATGCAAATCGTTTATTTATCCTTAAAATGGTATCAAGTACATTAATAATATGCTTTGTCATTGGTATAATTTCTCTAATTCCCTTTCTGAAAGATTCTATGTATTGACATTCCATTACATAGCGTTTCAAATCATGTCCTAATTTTACACCACGTACTCTATCATTTTAAAAGCCAGTCTTCCATGGGAATATTGCACTCTGAATCTAGATATTGCTTGATCCAAATCAGCAACAATTTACTCACTACTACTTCTAATTAGCATAATTCAGATCATTCATGAACGCTTTACTTTGATTCTCATTGTCATCCGAACACTGCCATTGTCATTCGAACTCTGCGCATCTACCATTAGGTTACTTTCGGAATCCACATTCTTTAACATGTCTGAATTTCTGGTCTAATTATTCTTATAGCTTGAAATTTTCAGACAATTTTTCCACCATTGCCTTCAAGCATTCCTTTATATCAGCGATTTCTTTTTCGTTCCCTGTTTCACCAGTGTCTAACTTGATTATGACTATTTTCGTCTTTATCATTTCCACGTTCAATTTGTGGCACCTCTTTATTTACTATCTTTTGCGGGATTTCAGTGATACATCTTTTCGCAAAGGCTTTTCTTTCCCAATGGCTCCTTCCCACCTCGGTCTCTTCGGGCACGCCCAGGACCAGGCTTTGTGTGGACCCTTACACCCCGGGCATTTCACAATAGGCTGGTCTGCATCGTCCATTGCCAGCTTATCCACGCACACTTTGGACTCGTGTCGACCACCGCAAACCCACACGTCACCCGCCCTTGAAGTGACCCCACTGCTGACACCTGGCACAGATTCTGGGGGACCCGGTGAACCTTACCACTGGACAAGGTGGTATTATGGGAGCAAACCTTTCTTTCTCGCTAGATAACACCTTTCCAACACGCGATTATCTGCCACTGCGTCTGCTCACCTTTCATCCTCCTCTTCGCCCACTCCGCGAGCACAACAGGCGGATAGTCCTTGATTAGAATCTTGCTGTGTCTCTCCACTCTCCGGCCTCTGCAGCCTTATTCTGTTCCTCTGTCGTCAGTTTGGTTGCGATGTCTTGGCATGTCGTAGTAAAGTACGGTACACGATTTCCAATGTGTGGAATTCATGTTGAACAGATTGCAACAGGAACAACGAAGGGAAGGGCAAGAAAACACACGAATATGCATATTCGTGTGTTTTCTTGCCCTTCCCTTCGTTGTTCCTGTTGCACGATTTCCAATGTGAAGTCTCAGATTGTTAGGCTTAATTCACCTTGAAGACAAAGTGCCTATTCTACCATTTCTTCATATGATTGTTTAATGCCGGAAGGAAAAAAAGCTTGGTTATTTCTTCATATTTTTTAATGCCAGAAGAAAAAAAAAAAAAAAAAAAAACTAAAAGCGTTTTAAGCAGGGAAAGTTCTTGCCTGAAATCTCAAGCGTTTTTCTTGCTAACTCAAGCATTTCGCTTGCTTTCTCAAGCGACTTCCGTAGATGGCTTGACTTGCGCTTGCTAAGTCAAGCGGTGTACCGTCACCATGGC